GTGACGATTATCCCGAGACGGATGAATTCAACTTCTGTTTCGTTAAAAAGGAAACTATGAAAACGCACGTATGTTCGATTTAGCCATGTTGATCGAGTGTTCCTGTGAGGTCGATGCAAGCTGTTGCCAAGTTAGCATCTTTCCAAATACTTACAATTGTCTCTTGACTGTGTGAAGAAAGATTAGATATCTTAAATTATTTTAGGGATATTTCGTCCAATAGAAATAAACTCCAGTTATTGCAGAATGTTGATACTGGTTGATGTATTACAGACCAGAGTGTAGAAATTAATTGTCATCTATCAGCCTAGAGACACACAACCAAGCTATTCAGAGCAAGATTGACAAACGCGAGCATTTTGAATAAAACGGCATTGAACTCACCATATGCTATGTTTTTTTGGATAGTCGCGTTCCAGTTTCTAGCACTACTTTGCTGCAACATAGTCATACCTGTAATGAACAATTACAGACGGTTTTATGCAAGAAGTATGTGTAAATCAATTTACTGTGCTACAAAATGTCAAAAACATATGTTAAAAGATTATTACTGTTTTGAAGTTCAGAGATAGTGAAATCAGGGCCAAATCACTCATTTTGCAAGTTGTGTGTCACGGTGATATCACACTAGGCTATTGCTAATAACTCCTAATAACTTGGTAGATAGTTAATGGATGGAATAAAGTACAATATTTCATCATTGTCTCAGACGTACTAATTATGATACAATATGGTAGTGATGGATGGGATGTATCAATTTATCGAGATCTGTTTCAAAGTGGGTTCTGAACACAATGTTGTGGTTTTGTGTGAAATACAATTTAAAATTTTCACATCACTCACAGAAGTCTGGTACAATGGAGTTTTTCAAATCTGTAAGATAAGTAAGTGACATTTAACTGTAAGTAGATAATATGTGAAAGTATGTGTACATTTTAAGTTGAGTAAAGTCCATGAAGATATTGTGGAAGACGAAACGGACATTATCAGTTTGGCGGGTCAACACTATTTGCTTTTCATGAAGTAGAAAATCCATGATGTATCAGAGTTTCCACTTCTTGTTTGTAAATGAAATTGGCTGATTTATTGAGTCGTTTGATTGAAAAGTGAACACATTTTGCATTCAAAAATGTGAAATATATTTATTTCAGGTTACCAAGGCTTACCCGTATAATTGTTCATAATAGAATTGAACCGTTCACTTTCCAGTTTCCAAGTTTCTTTAGCAGCTTGAGTGAGTATCAACAGAAAGGTTAAGAGGTTGGATAATTTCTACTGAAAAACCCTCATATGTCAATTTTTACGTATTTAAAGAAGAACTACTTTCTGAATTGACAAGCTCTTCATACTTCTTTAGACGACTTCTGTTTGATCTGAAGGCATTGTATTCAGACTGAAGTATGAAATGTCTACATTCTTTGCCAATGATTAACAGCGTGCACACAGGAAGCACGAGACTCCATATACATATTTACGTGCAGTTACTTGCTTTTGTGTATCCGGAAACTTGAGAAATGAATGTAGGAGTTGTGTTCTCCAACAGTTTAGATTTCGAAGAATTCGGAAACGAGATTTCAAATAGCCACATGATCAAACACATCGAGTTTGTTCAAAGTTATTTGGAACATCAGTAAATGTGCGGCATTATTGTAGACAGTACGATTTGAATGACATACTTTATATCGGAAGATGCCCACTAACGATCAGTTGGTAAATTTACAAATGCACATCAAAGATAGATGGATCTGATAACATTTCCAACCTAGTTTAGGGGCCAAGATTAGCAACGGAGTGAAAATTAGTCTAGGCATGTCAATGACAAAGAGTTGCAACATACCGTTGAGATAATTGAGTGCCCACTTCACTTGGTGTTCTTTCTCCGACTCGCGAAGCACTACACAAATAATTATGAACAGTAAACATAGGTGATGTGAGACCTTCTATTTCCTCGTGGTAAGAGGCAGGACATGTGCTTCATTTTAATATAAACGCTTACTAGTTTACAATTAGTTGTATTGTAAATTGAACCACTACGAACTCATTTACATACAAGCGTCGTTATCAATCCATTTCACATACTTTCCTCGATGTTCAGTTTGATATTGACTAAATACAGTAAAACTCTCAACAACTTCATATGGAGTTATTGATTACTGTCAATACAGTGGACAAGCAGATAAGATTCTGCTTTACATGACACTATTAAAACTGAGTAGTTTGTTCGTCTGATGTCAACGCATAAGAACACATACAAACTTACTGATATTACATTCTTCCTTTGTGAAATTCATATCAGGTCCCAGTGCCATAATGAGGAGTTGATCTAGACAACCGAAAAGACAATATCTGACATGATGTTCTCATGCACAACTAACAAGTAATAACTATTTTTAAATACATCCACTCAAATGCTAGTTGGAGTAACAATAAGGGTAAATAATATTTGCTTACAATTATTATGTATTTTTGATACATAATGTTCCCCATATTCCGATATAGTGGCACTCATCTTGTCTAAAAGATAATGGAACATGTAGAGCATCAATATTGTTCATTATCTGCTCCAACACCAGTGAGGCAGCCTTAAGATGAAATACAAACACTGAGTGAGTTAGGAATTGAGAGAAAACATCACTACATCCATAAAGGATATTTTCTTTCTGTCTGGGTTCTCATCACTAATTGCGATGTATATGTTGGAAAGTAGTCTAACTAACAATTGTAGACAGTTAATGTTCCTGAGATTGTACGTTCCCCTTTCATTCTACACTTCACCATGTTGGACGGTGTTCCTGATCAAACTGAGAAAAACACATTGGAAATAAGCGTGGGTGTGATGGTCCGTGATGAGGAAGCTACATGGATGGAACATTGTGTTAGTTGCAGACTAGGATTTATTTCTTAGTAGACATATTCAAGAAACTGCTGATACCTTCTGATTTTTATGTGTGACAGTTAACAACTTTAGCATTACAGTATGAACAAGAGACTTACTTTTGATAGGAGACTGAGCTTCGCAGATGAGACCACTTACTAAATCACATAAATGAGTGCATGGAATTAAAAGTTAGTATTTGTATTTACATGGAAAATAATCAAACTTGTTTCACAATGATCTGGTTTGTGAACATGGTACAAAATCATATCGTCAAATTGACATGGTAACCAGGCCAAGAATTTCCTGTTCGGCCAGTATATATCTATACCCATGTTCTCTTAAACAAGAAACTAGTATGGAATGTTTCACTGAAATTGTTCTAAATCTGACCTATCAATCTGTGAATTTTCGTCGCTCAACAAGCCAAACAGTTATCCACCGTCCACAACCAAGCTAAACGCAATATCCACTTACAACAAGAAATTGTTCACACAAAGTCTATGTAGTTTTGCTTGTTATGAAAATGACGATGAAGACCATAATGACATGGTACACGGAATATCTGAAACTCTAAGACGTTTTACTAGCTGATATTTGAATAGGTTTTGGAGTATAATCTGGGACAAAATGATACGTTTGTATGGACAAGTTGCCAATCAACATGTAACACTAGTCCAGAATGCCTCGTCAACTACCTCCAACCACCCACCGTCAAATAAATTGGGAAACCAATTCTAGTAAATGAGGAACACATGAAGTAACTCAAACCCGTTACGTGTGAAGTGATTGAAGATTACCCACAAATGTACTCACGTGAAATCAGTAAAGTGATCCCGTTTATTAGAAGGTTGTATTCCTGCAACATATTACTTCTAAACTCAATTTTTCTGATGAACATGTTTGTTTGAACGTTTGTCTATATACTGTTTTGGTGTGAAACCAAACACAGTGAACTGAAACATTCTCAAAAACACTTTGAGTTTTGTTGCAAGACTGTGGTTGAGTTCTCATGATATGAAACACTGATGAGAAGTGCACTCATGAAATTGAGGACACTGAATACAGTGCTGATGATAATATTCTTATCACGATGTGATTTTCAATGTGACGCAAGTTTAACTGATTTTTCTCATATCCGTATTAAGTTTGTGGTGAGAGAATTTTGTTCACAACTCCTTCAACTTTCCACTTGATGTAAGTAGATTCTCGTCAATTACAGATTAATGTAAACTGTACTCATAGAACTGAGGACAGTGAACGTGATCGTGCTGTTTGATGAATTTGTAAAATTTTCTCTCAAGAGAATTTCATGTTCAATTGAACATTTTGTTCGCATTGATGGCCAGTTTTTTAAAACTCTCTAAATGTACTATATACAGACTGTTAAAGCACCAAAATGATGAATTTCAATGTATGAGTGATTGGGACTGTTACGGTACAAATGCGAGGTGCTAAATCACAAGTATTTCACAGTAATTCGTCAGAACATATATATACACCAACAGAAAATGCCTCGACTGGATAATAAGAAAATGCCATGACGTGGTGCATGTGGAGAAAGCAGTAGTGTTGAATGTGTCATCTTTATACAATTGAACATCATTTGATGGGCCTTGGGTATCTGACTCAATTTAGATTGGTTTATGAAGCAATGAATGGTTGTTATTTAGGTATGCACCTCAGGTAGAAATTTGCATTATCATGAAATACCGTAACGCATCCACATGTATGGTGGTCCAGCTTCAATTAACTCATGATCTCAACTAATAAAATTACTATGATATCCACAAAACCCCTTGTTATATTACAACTATATTATTTTATTTATGACAATCCACACAATGCTCAATTTATTCGGAATTATCAAGTCAAACCTTGGTCATGATACTCACTATGGTTTTATTTAGGGCAGTTGGAAATTATTTCATATTAAGGAATACGTGTTCAACCTTACCCAACTTAGTTATCAGCAAGATTTACCCATTTATAAAATGTACTGTCATAATTAATTCCAAGTTTTTACATCAAGCTGTCACTTACGTTTTAGAAACTAAGTAAACGCTTGGAATAATTTGTGACTTATTTCTGTTGTTGCTATTCCATTCTTATAACTGTGTCACAGGTGAAACATGGAAAACGCATCCTATTGAGGTTTTTCGGAAGAGATTAAGCTCTAACATCAGAAAAACTAAGACGACTTCAAAGTCAGTCATGTAAGTTTTGCTATTGTCTGCAAAAGCTGTTTCTTAACAACACGTTGTTTCAGCAGAATGTATCACTGATCGCAATAAAATGCCTTTTTATTTTAATGATGGCGAGTAGGTGAAACGTAAATGCAAGTATAAGAAACTCTTGATTTCAATGCATAGAAAGTGGTAGAAAATGTAAGCGGTTTTTATAATCATTGGGTAGATTATTGAATAGATCCAATTCCCGTCGTCGAATATTCATTGAATTCGCTTGCTACTTCAGTTGTAGAATAACATTTTTCTACAATGCGAAACAAATAAGTGAAAGCAACATTTAGGTAGCATTCAGTATCAAAGAGGCGAATTCTCAAGTTCTTGTTATAAATAGACAAAAATATCATTTCTTTAGGTGTTAACTTACATAAACCATAGAAAACGTAAATATGTTGTGTGAGTTACTTAAAGTAAATTATTTCACGCTTAGCATTGTTTTGTAAATGCTGCATCTAAGGATTACAGTTTTATAGCCAACCAGCATGACAGCGATCCTGCCTTCCCACAAGGAGGCGTGTGGTTAGAATAGGTTGACGCTAAAAATACATACCTTGGCTTATCCGATGGATATCCGTCTCTGGCGGTACGACTTCAACAATTGCGGAGCTAACACAAAAATTACTCACACGAAAGTCGCGTGTGACCGACCTTTCATGCAGTTGTCCCTTGGGAACTGTGGTCACGCTCTTAGGTCACTAAGACCACCTCTAATCCAACTTCTTTCTCAGGTACCTCAAGAAGAACCCTTCCACAGTGTGAGCAACCGGGATGTGATAATCGTCCATATATTTTTAACAGCACTCAAGACATTTACTTTTATTTTCTGTCAACACCATGAATAGGGTTTTCAGGCCTTCTTAATTATATCAATGAAATCCAATACGTAGGCTAAATTCATTTTGTTTTTAATATAGTTCTTGTCAATTTGCCGATTTTAGCTCATAAATGTCAACCTGTTAGGTCTCATAGGAACGAATAAAAGACGCGAACAGACAACAGCATCTACTAGGGAAATATGGAGTTAGGGTATTTAGATGTTCTGAGATTGCTATGTAGTTAACTTAACCCTGTTAAATTCACTTAGATATCCATATTTTATATTTTCTCTAAAATTAGGGAGTTTTATCGACGACAAGATGAACATATTCGTGAATTGGAAAAGATCGCAACTATTATGGAGGCAGAAACCTCCGATGTAGAAGTAACCTCCAATCATCATTCTATTAGGCGGCAAACGCGAATTAATACAATGATTATTGGTGTTGTATTTTGTGCCAACGTGGTAAGTATAATATCACTAATAATTAGTTCATGAACATTACTAAAACGGAAAGGAAGGAAATTTCATTCTAATGCAGAATGAACTATCCTTGGTAAATTCTAATAAGTTATTAATGCTCAGCGTTTACATGTTTCCATCTAGCTATTGTAACATAGGAAAATTATTTAGAATATATAATAAGTTTACAAACTAGTAATCTGTCATCTGGTGTTTCGATTGATCTTAGTTCACCATCTGCAGATTTTCCATTTGCTTTATTACTTTCGCTTTAAGCAATACCCGTTTAATTGACGACTAGTGATTTCAAATAACCAGTCATTCATAACGAACGCAAAATGTCAATTTCTAGTAATATAAGTTTTGTGGTTTACGGATCGTAAACATCAAATCGTTTTTTCCATAGCATAAGGCTGATATAATTATTAGATGACTAAGATTAAAACAATCATTTGCTACTGAAGTGACGTGTAAATTTGTTACCATTCCAGTGAATATAGGGAGATTAAGTTTACTGGTGTCTTGGATTAAGCAAGCAATTTTCTTTGAGTTCATCCTCTTTGAAACAACGAACTAGTAAAACCTCTTTTCTAATTTTTTACGCTAGACGTTTGGTTTTATTTTGATATAATTCCTACACTAGTTTATTCTCCTTACGTTTTATGAATGTGACACTTCTTTCACCATGAAATCAATTTATATTTTATTCAGTGAAATTTTAAATGAAAAATATAATTTTCTAGTAGTGTTATTATTTGTCTAACGATTTTACATTGTATGTATGAAAATAACTTGATAACTTTTAATTATCATATTGCCCATTTGGAATTACATCAATATAGGTACTTTTATTGGGTAAAGCTGTAGCATCTGCATTATCAGGGTCATTAGCAATCATATCATCTTTGCTAGATAGTTGTGTCGATTTGGCTTCCGGTGGAATCATGTGGTTTGCTGCTCGTCAAATGCGTAAAAGGAAGCCATACAAATACCCAGAAGGTAATTTGGTTTAAAAATATTTTAACTCATCATAAAATGATCTACGGTCTGTGGGATGGTTATTTTAAACTGTTGTTACAGTTGTTTTAAATGGTCTTTTCAATACGACATGCAGTTGATTCCACTAACAGTATGAATGACTCTCAAAATATGGACTGGTGAATGATGTGTTGGAAGAATTCTGCACATTTTAAACATTTGTCAACATATAACTTTTCTGTCACTACATTTGGCAATCTTTTAGAGTTCTCGTTTTTTAAATGATGTTTTATACATCGATATTAATTCTCAAATTATCACTTCATCTAGTTATCGAACAAAAGTTGTGAATGTATTCGATTTTTAATTGAACACTATCATCAATTTACTGTAAGTATCTATTTACAAGCCTTTACTTAATCAGACTGATTATTTCCGAAACTACTGAAATGTTCAGATATAGTATGAAGAAAGAATAAGTAACATATCATAACAATTTACTTCTAAATTGTTTAAGACAAAGTGCATATCTTTCAGTAACTAGTTACCAAATTTTAACAAAATATAGAACTAAGTTATGAGTCCAGTCGCCAAGAAGTTATAAACAGTGACATCCGATAACAAAAATTAACGCAGTCACATTGAAGTGAACGAGAACTCAGGTGTGGTACACCAATTGATTGTCTAATGCAAACTTACAAAGTGCCTTCGTATAATATGAAAACGATACATTGAATAAATTATTTGCACCTTTTTCAGTTGTCCTTCCTGTTTTCTTTAATTTAATCACCTCAACCCGTTGCTGGCAGGCATCTCATTTCCGATTGCTCCTACATGCTACTTGTACCCGTAAGCATAAGCAACATGCATCACAGCATGTTGTTAATCATTTGTTCTCTCTATTTAACGTTGAAAGAGAATTATCATCATCATTTAGCCGTGTTGTTAAACCAGATGATTGCAATAATTACTTAAGATCTTAGTGTACATTTCTAAGATACTTATTATTTATGCTTTACAATTATTAAATTTGCTGAAATATTTATCAATCATTTTTATTCTAATGTTGGGTTTTTGAAAATCATCTGAAAGTGAAAGAGAAATAAGGTCTCTAAAATGCTGTTATTTTATCTCCTTGTTAGGGAGAACACGACTTGAACCATTAGCAGTGATTGTACTCTCTGTATTTATGGGTAGTATATCTATACAACTTGTAGCTGAATCTGTACAAGCCATTGTTCGTATGTCACAAAATAATCAAGAGGCACCAAACGTTAATGATTTAGCATTGGGAATAATGGCATCCGTAATTGGTAAGAATTATATTTAATGTTCATAAATTGTGTTTTCAAACTTCATTTGAAAAGCTGTGACCTAGACCCACAAAATACCTGTTGATTAGTAGCCAATATTTCATTCACTTTACCTATTGTCAATTTAATTGTCTTATATAGCACAAAAGATATAATCAGAGAGTTGAACGTACCGACTAAGTCTCTATTGTCATATTTACCTGTTAATTTGTAATGACAGAAGCATCCATGTTGCAAGAGTATAGAGGGTCTTCACTGAGAGCTTCTGTTGACACACAACAAGTAATTTGATGGCAAATAATCCCAGAATTCCCAGTAGTAACACAGAGAGATATCGCAATAAAATGTAACGTGTAGTAAATTTCAGTACAACATTTGAAGTAATAAATACTCGGTACAACGACAGATTTCTACATAAACAAAAGCAGTACTTCTTTTTACTCAATCATGTATTGTTAGTATTATCACTATTATACAGATTAATTAACTATTTTTTGAAGTCACTATATCATATCATGTTTTCTTCCCCACTAATAATAATTCCCAATGTATCAAAGTAACTCTGTTTTGTGGCGATATTACTGACTGAAGCTGTGTAATCATATTTGTAGTTCATCAGTAAATTATATTAGTATACTTCCTACACAAAGAGAGCTCTTTATAATTTCATTTTCGAGCATTACTCTGGTTGGTTATGAAAGGGATTATTCCGAATTACTAATGAGCTATTATCAAATGTAATTATTCTGTTTTTCATATTCATCAAATGTATAGTCATCTCTCTCCAATAAAATATTATTATGTTAACATTTTTCATTAGCCGTTACATCGTTGCACAACTTCACTTTTGTATTTAATGTTTATCAACAATTTATCACTCAATACTACCGAATGTTTACAATTTTTTTATATTCTTCAAGTTAACAATTATCTTTTATCAGTAATCTATTTTTACTTTGATCTGTTACATACTCTTTTTATACTTCAGAAAACTATATATATTTATATATAGCTTACAAAACATTCAAATAATCAGGAATCAAAAGTAATTATGGATGGTCAACGTGTGCGTATGAACAGAAATTAAGGGAAGAAAATAGGACAGAACGATGGTTATACATAAGTTCATGACCTTTTGAAACGGGTGTATATATCGCTCAAATTCTTAAATGATTGCAGTAGACTAGCTGGATTTCTCCTACATTTTATTGTAGACAACTAGTAATCACTGACGAATCAGTTAATCACCTACTGACGTTTTAACTACATACTGCTTACCTCAAGATTGATACTATCCTCCAGTTTATAAAATGTTCAGTAATCCCCAACTCCATGCCTTTATTACTTGAAATTTAGAGTTGTATTTCTCTGGAAAAATAATTGATAAAGTTAGTCTATCTCTTTGCTATATTACTTGATTAACTGATTGAATGATAAATTTACTGGCCCTTTTCACATTTATTATCATTTATAGTGACTAAACTAATCTTATGGATCATTTTTTTTAAATTTGGTGGTGGAATGGCTATCGATGCGCTTAAAACCGATCAACGTAACGATATACTTACGAATGCTGCATCAATTTTATTTAGTGGTCTTGCTGGACGTTTACGTAAGAGTTTCTACTGTTTCACTACTTTCTAATAACATTTCAAACTCATCATTATTTCCATAAATAAAATTGATATATACACTCCAGAAGATTGGATAAACATGTGTTACGTTGGATGCCATCTCAGTGGTCTAGGAGGCCGAATGTCCTGAGTTCAATTTCCAGATAGGGAGTAGTGGGTGCGCATTGATGAGGAATCGCATACTGGGGCGAAACGGCTGTCCAGACCTTCGACGGTTTATATGATAGTTAGATGAATTTGTGGGAATATGGTTTTATCTGCTGTGTTGTTGATTGCTCTGCTTAAATTTTCTGCATCTAGTAACTGTTGTAAGAGAGCAACTAGTCATTGGTTCAGAATTGTTTATATAAGTCACTATGCCATAGAAACAAGCTAGTTCTTGAGGTCACAAATATAAGCTAATATTTATGCTTTAACACAATACCACATTCCTTCAGCAAATAGTTTATTGCTTCCAGATGATGCCTCACAGCATTATTAACATTGTAAGAAATACCCTCCGAAAACAATTTATAAACAACATCTCAAATAATTTAACATTAAATATCCATCCACCACATGTAACATGATTTTCCGAATCAACCTGATCATGTCTGTAAATGACTACGGATTCTGTGGAGATTTTCAAAATATATTACATTTAAGTAGAATGAATGTATACAAGCAAATACAATATGCCAACAAGTGTTTATAGAACTGGTATTTTATATCTAGTTGAGGACTTTTGGATTTTGCTTGAGGGTCGACTTGACGTTTCGACTTCCAGAACAAAGCGGATTGTTTTCCTAAAAAGTAATGTCAATAATGCTAGCCTATGAGTCAGATTTACGAGGCAGCAAGGATACGGTGAAAATTTCCTTTCTATAGTAGGTGGTGATTAAGGTAGATTTAGAGTCATATTATTGTTTTTATTTTATAAAGCCCTTGTGGACTGTTGGTTTAAAAGTGATTCTCTTCTCTTTACCAGCTTAGGACATTTAGCCGAATGCCAACTTGAGGGCTAAGTATAATTAATTATTTCCCATCTGGAAAACGTGTTGAAATTAACCAAGTTGTGATCAGTTTACAATATACCTTGTTAGAGCAGTGGAATATGTGGACAACCGTAAGAATATAGTGTTTTACATACCAAGCCAGTAGCTTGTTTCATCAGCTATGACCTTTTATTGGTATTGTTGTGCAAAGTCTTTTTACTCGTATGCCTTCTCTATCATTCCTAGCTACGTCTAGTATGGCTATTCTAATCAATTGATTCAGCGTAATACCGTGCTTCAACCCATTGATCTCGCAAGCACTGTAGATAGTTGTTTTGAGCATTATTGATCATTGTCTATTTTATGTAGATTTTGGAGAAATAAACTTTAATAATAATTATTATTAATAATTAATGGCTTTATTCAATATTTTATTTTGGTACAATGTGGAATTCTCGGCACAGGGTATTTCAACAAGTTTCTTATACAAAAAAGGAACAGAAAAAATAGTCAAAAGAAGGAGAAAAAGAAAAACTGTACAACTTTTCAAATTAGAGACATGTTAAGAATGCAGGTTATTATTGACTAGGTTAACTCTAACAATCTGTTCGTCACAGAGTATATTTGCCAGGCAAGGTATTATAGAACTTTTATACTTTTGCTTGTGAACTTGGATCACATAAATTGTTTCGCTCAAATGTGTATGAGAAATCTATCAACTTAAGGATTGCTCGTATCATTAAATAAAGTTAGCTGAAAAACTAATATAAACTATGAAAAAGTAAACAGTCACTAAGACCAAGTTTTGAGATTTTATCATTTATAAACTTCTCACTCGACATTCGCGAATCCATCACAGCATTGGCGATCTTTTGTAGTTTCAATTCAATTCAGTTAATTGATTTCCTCTGTATTATAAACATGAAATAATTTTGTTTGAGATCCTAAAATGACCAATGTTAGACAACCATTGCACTGCCGAGGAGTCTCGTACTAGGACGAAACGGCCATCCAGTACTTCTAGGTTTTCAATAGTGGTCTAACATTGATCCATTCATGATTTCAATCAAAACTCAACAATCTCCGAAACCATATACTGATAAAAAAATCTTGGTGGTTTATTTTAACAAAATATATATCGTTTCAGGTTACTAGTTATTCGATGTCACGATACATTAAGTACTCATTTCATGTACTCTTCTATAATCGAATTTGACCTTTGATTCCTCGTTTGATTAAATGACAGAATGCAATGTCTGCATTAAGGATTTAAACACGTCTTCATAGCTGACCTTATATAACTGAAATTAGAATGAATTGGTTTTATTTTTCGGAAGCTATACAGAGTTCTTAAGAGATAATGATGCCTATTTTGCGTGCACATGACTTAATACTTTTATAAGAACAACATGAAAATCAGTTCTCAGTACATGAACTGAAGAAACCGGCTGTCTGAATAATAAGTTCACAAATAAATGACTCATTTTATATACATTTAACTACCCAAATCACTCATCTCTGGTAACTATTTGTCAGTTTATTCAAGTAAATTCTTTATAATATCTAGCAACGATTGTCTGTTGGGACCAATTGATGATTACTGCGAGTTTCATGTGAATTTTATGTTCAGTGATTTCGTTAATTATTAAGGAATAGTAATTCTGGGTTTCTATTTACTCAGTTCTAATCACTGTAAAATAAATGGACAACATTCATTACAGCTCCTTTACTACGACAAAGTGAGTTTTAATATTGATGCTGGGGCTTGTTTTGCCAAGCTTATATATATATATATATATATATATATATATATATATATATATATATATATATATATCATCAATCGATATCACTATTTTCATCGTCATATCTTCACTGCATTGTCATGTTCTAATTTTCACTTGCTCATTTACGCACGACATCCAGTTTTACCGTTATGATATTTGCCGTAGATCTGTTTATATTTGTGGTGCTACCAATAACAATAATAATAAGTTATTATTGTTGTTACTTTCTGTATTACCAATTCATCTATTTTTATAAATTACTTTTTCATTCAAATAGTTTCTTTTGACATGCTATCGACTTTATTTGTGAAGTATTATCATCACTATGGTCGTCCTTATTCACGTATTATTTCTAATGGTATATTATAATGCTGAATGTATTCATTAACAAAATGTCCATAAATTTTATACCTTATATGAAATGGAATATTATGAAATTGAAATGATCTGGATATATGTGCGCTGTTTTATTAATTCTATACGAGTGGAAATATTTAAGATTTGTTCCCTAAAAACTATCATCAATAAAAAATCTCAGGTGTGACCTCTGATTTCCTATTGATTAGTAAGAACACTGTAAGTAGGATTTAGGTGAGTTGATTAGACACAGAAAAACAATGTTACTGAACATGTTGAGTTACATTGGTTTAATGGAAACAATCATTATTATAACCAATTGTACCAGTGATTGTTTTACTGTACATGTTTGTTTACCTGTACTAAAGACATCGTTCCTTCCTTTGATCGTGACCTTGCACGAATTCGGTTACGCTCAGTAACCACACGTGTACTCCTTTGGCACGATCTCGGTATTCTTTCGATACCACGAGATCGCCAACGAATACATCTCGACTACAGCCATCAACTGCCTTCTGACATTTGGCTTACGGGGCATCTTATCCGTTAACTGGCACGTAGTCTTCCTGTAGTGATGATCATAGTCAACCGCGACTAGACGCCACGCTACACATGAGTAATACTGAATCACTTACACCTCATTATCAAAATGAAAATCTGTTTTCAGATATTGACAATTACATTTTTATAAGTACACAGTGCAAATTTAGGAATTTTTTTAAAATTAGTCAAATAGATTATCTTGAAACAATTCTATCACAGTGTCAGTATTGTATAACTTGTTCACTCGAACTTCATCATTATGGATAACCAGAAATAAAACCACTGTTGACCATGAAGAAATATTTTCACTTAATTCAAACTATTACTGCTTTGAATTTGTCCATGTTTTCAATTATACTCGTTTATATAGTAGATTTGTGAATGTTTTCACTTTCATTGAAATCATCCATTTTTTTATGAATCTTATCAAGTTATCTGTTTCTTTGATACTTTATATGATTAATATATATTCTGTGTTGAAATATACTTAATATATTTCTGATAAAGATGTATAAACTGCCTGTAACAGTCATCATGAATTTGTTAAAAACAAAAGTATTTACCTTTAATGACGATTTCTCACCTTTTCTGTCATTTATATAATACATATGTCTAATAAAGCTTATGAGTTTATGTTACAGTAGAAATTTGTATGAATTGAGGGATTCTTGTTTTACTGATATTTGAATTACAACTAAGCTTCTATTAATATTGAAATCTGAATTCTTTTGTCAATAATATAATAATTAATATGATCTTATGTAACTGAAACCGAATATTTGTTACGTAATATAAAGCAATGTTATAAGATGCTTGGATAAAAAGAATGTGTAAATTCAATTCACTAGACTACTACATGAGAGTAGCATTGATTCATTTTAGGTAATCAGTTTATATAGAAAGTGAACAAATAATAATAGCTAATCAGATAGGGAACCATAAAATCCATATAATTTAGATCATAATTTACTATTGTTCGTTTTTATAAAAGAAATTTCTCATTTATTTACATCATTGTAAGTTAAATGTGTTGATTTGATTGAATGAAAATAGTTAAAACAAAAGCAACATTTAAAATAGTCCGACCTACTATTTCTAATAATTTATAGTTGTAAGTAGGTTAATAAAAGCAAACTGGTTGTGCTAGTTTGAATGTTAACATGTGATACAACCAAGTCACCATGAAAAGCTCTACGAAATGTATGATACGCTTTTTCCTGATTTTCTCTTCTATTCACGTTTCTTTTTACTTTGTTACATTTATTTCAATACTGAACAACATGGTTGCCAATGACTACAAGTTATTTCAACAGTGAAGATTTATGAAACAGAATATTCTGTAGACAGACACAAGCTATTTATTAATCATATAATTTACTTAATGAACCAACGGATCACTAAATAAATTCATTGTTTCCTTGTTCTACTTGTTTAACACTTAATTATTTTATACAGTGAACATGATTTATATTCCTTGTTTTCAATAAAGAACAGTTTAAAGGGGTTTTCACATTTTTCGGTTAGAGCTATACTTATTGGTTCTTATATTTTGTATTCTTGGTAGTTATAGTTATAGTGCGGATGACTTTGTCCGCTAAATGAATTAGCAAAAGGGCTTAACTGCGTTAGATGAGACTAAACTCGTTTGCACGTGAGTCGCTATATACATATTCAACTTCTTAGTGTATAAAACTACAGTTCATCCTAGCTATTTCGATAGATAATAATGTCTAAAAACCTCCATCAAATTATATCACTAATGTATGAACGAAGAATATTCTCTTCAGTTATTATTCAGTTTGTAGGTGTCAATGCCAAAATGAGACTTGATATTTTTAAATCAAAAGATCATTGAGTAGAAAGTTAGTAAAACAAGCATACATTTTTCTCCCTCACTGCAACAGCAGTAACTTCAGGATACTTGTATTGAGGAGTAGTGATACTCCGTCCATATCGAACTCTCCGAGAGCTTCCAGAACCTCACTCATCATTACGGATGTCGATTGCTCGTGCAGTGTTTCTACAGAAGTCCAGTTAATGCAGGTTTACTTGAAACTGTCTTCAAAGTTTATTCAACATTCCATCTCTAAAAATATTCTTCATCATGTCCGCATGTCTAAGAGGTGTATAGCCGACTCAATGCATATTCAAAGAAGAGTGAACTAAATGGTTTTCACCAAGAAATAGATCTTACTTGTCTCACATATATAAGCTCCAAATTAATAACCTTTGAAATACCGAAGAATAATGAGGCGTATCGTATGGGTCATAATGCTGTTCACCTTATAATGTGGTTGATAGCTTTCACTACTACGTCACACACAAGTGGTCATCGTTTTAAGGTATAAGACGAACAAATGTATGGATGCTTATGATTAGTATTCTACCTGATACTTAATTTATTTGAAATTGTTTAGTCGAACCGTGGTATTGATACGCGCACCGTCACAATTATCCATCTTGTAAGCACATAGTTGTGTCTATTGAGTATTGTTTATGCCTAATCCGTTGTACCACAACTGATATTGTCACTAGTTTCACCACTTGTGTAGTACGTGGTCCAACCATCTCAGTCGATGAAGATTTACAACCTCCATCATTCCCTAATACCCTGCATCTAACGTCACTAATACATAACCGGTGTTCCCAGCAGTTGTGAGCAATATTTCTAAGGCATCTGTGGTCAAATACTACTAGCTGATCAGACTCCCAAGGTAGGTGTGGTCGACATGTTCGACTACTTCACTCTCTATAATTAGTTCAGGTGGTGACGCAGGTCAGTCCTGAAGCAACAAGTTGCATTCAGAGGGGGAGAAGCGCATCCAAAACATTCTTGCATTGTTGTTCATTGGTACCAAATGACTCTGCATTTTATCAACGTCTTCACCAAACAGGACTATATCATCTGTGTATTCTGAGTCGATAAGTAGACCTCTTGAAAATATATCAATTCCTGAAAATTCAGTCGACGCGGACGTTATTTCGATCAGTAGGTCTATGATGAAGTTGAAGAGAAATGGAGAAAGTGGACAGCTTTGACGGACACTACTTAAGGTTACGAAAGCAGATGACATTTCGCCAAAAGCTCTGACTCGACTAGTAGTGTTCGAGTAAAGAGTCTGAACGAGGTTTATGTACATCTGAGGTACGCCTCTCAATGACAAACACTGCCACAGAATCTCGCGGTCTACAGAGTCAAATGGTGCTTTAAAGTCAACAAAGATCACCATTGTCGGACGCCGATAAGCATGCCTGTTCTAGGACCTGATGAATGGTGAATATGTGGTCGATTCAACCACGACCAGGTCTGAAGCCAGCCTGATTCTCACGAGTTTGCACTTCACGAGTCTTTGTTAGGCGTTCGGCATTTATTGAGGCTAGTATTTCAGATGCTATGTCTGTCAAACTGATCCCTCTATGGTTCTCACAGGATGATTTTGACCCTTCATATATATTGGCGCAATCAGTGACTGTGACCAGTCAGATGGGATTACGTCGAACTCCCAGATTTTAGCTAAAATTTTAGTTAACCTAATCGCTAAAGCTGGACCACCATACTTAAAGACCTCTCGAGTCAATCCAAATTGAACAGCTGCTCTTCCGCATTTCAGATTAACTTTAGCGTTTCGAACTTCAATTAGAGTCGGAGACCTACTTCAATGTTCCATTCTGACTGTTTGGAAGTGGTGGTTGATTGTCGAATAGCTGTCATACGTCTGTACAGTCAGCAGTAAGACTTCGGTCTCTGGGACTCACTTCACTGATTCTAGTGTGACCGCTCTTTAACCAACCTATCTGACATGGTAGGACCTTTAGGAACTGTTGGTACAGCCAATATAACTCGATTGGTTCATTAGGATAAGCAAGGTCCCTTTCCAGAAACGACGAGTCAAACCAGTTCGCATAGCAGCTATAGTGATAATAATGATTGGAATAAATTTGACGATAGTTCGAACACCTCAGTGGTGTCACCTGGTAGAACAAAGCTATCTCACTGTCAATTAGAAGATCCCAACCCTACAGAGAATACTCCCTCAGCACCTCCAACAGGTTCGAAGCGTCGAAAGCAAATCCTTCCTTCTCGTGCTGATATTTCTACTGATTCTCATTGTGTTGTACAAAGTGAACACGAGAAGACCCGTAGTTGTCACCACAAAAGTAAACATCGTCATCGCAACAAGCATTTTCAATGTGAGAGGATAGAGAAATGTGGATACGATGTTAGTTCTTCTTGCACAGTACCGAACTCAAATGATGGTCATGAGTTATCAAGTGTCGTCGTAAATTTACTGCCTGTCAAAAAACGTCTATGGAAGAATTTCAATCACGGACACCAACTATTCCTTGAATGCATCAAATACACTGTCAACGTAAGATATGTAGTGGCTCACATTTATCACGAGAACACGACTGGGTTAATAAAAACAATTATTATTATAACCAACTGTACCAGTGTTTGTTTTAATGTGATTTTGTTGAACTGTGCTAATTATAGCCATTTTGTGCTTCCATTACCTTCCATCATTGTTCCGCGGCTTTTGGTACTGTTCGCACGTGCTCCATTCTCCCGCTTTCGCTTGTACCATTTCTTGGCACGATCTTGGTATTTATTCGATACCATGAGATCGCCAACCGAATAAATCTGGTTACGTTCAACCTTCGCCTTCTGATTTCTTTGGCACGTGTTTTTGGTAGCGGTGTTCATAGTCATTTGGGACTGGACGCCACGCTACAGATACTTCACTTATCCTGGCACCCGAAGAAATTCCTTACAGTATCTCTATCAGGCAATCAGATGTTTCTTGTTTCAGGTCAGCCGACATTTGGTTTTACATTGCCTTCACAGAAGGATTCGAGTCATTGCAATGACTCTTCTTGTTTATCTAGGTCAACTGACGATGAGAACAACATACCTAGTGGACATCGTGAAGCGAGATCCACATCTATAAGAGATAACGTATTGACCAGATTGTCTGTAAATTGTTTTGTGCCAACGACTTCATATCTATTAGTGTTTACGGCCTTTCAAGTAACGGTTTGAGCCTGTTTATTATCCGAGCAACACACAATGCATAAGAAACGGGATTCGATCTAGATTTCATCCAATGAATCACATTGAATGTGCCTTAATACCTTGGATCCTTCGACTCGACTGTTTAGAGCAACGTGCGACTCAGATGAATATCGGTGAGCCGGAAATTTGAAAAGAGAGGAAGACTGGGATTTTCTGCGTTAACCTTTGAGATAGGCATAAACTGAAGACCAGAAGGATACAAGCAAACACAAAGCACTTTGCACTCAATAATTTAATTCCAGCATCTCGTGTAAATCAAGAAAACAAAAATATTGTGAAAGACTTGCATTTAATCAAACAATTTTAATGTATTGATACTACTGCTACAAACTAAATAGTGTTATTAAATGAAACGACAGTGCATTCCGTCCCATTCTCTGAGTTAATTGTAGACTCCTACAAGGAAAGTAGACGTTGAGTTGATGATTATTTGGAGTGATTTGAAGGAAGAGATGTAAATAACACAAAGTATATACTCAATGAAGTCGATTACTGATGAAGCATACAGCGCCAATGTGCATAAAATAGTTCCGACCGATGTAGAGTAGCAAAGACATAATTGTATCATGACTGATCAGTCACCTATGTTACATCACTCATTGCACAATACATTCTCACGAATCTTCCAAACATTGATCAGTAGCCAGCACTATGTACGCAGTGATGCAATGTAGTTGTTTCTTAATCAATCCGTGCACAAATATATGCCTTTTAAACAAGTGCCAACAATGCAAATGCCATGTAGTTATGCAGTCTTTCGGGGGATTGATCTGAACTCACCTATCTTGATGAATTCCTCAAGTATGTTGAACACGTAAAATCATTGAACATGTGATATTATTCATATACGTCTGAAGTCATCATTGTTACAGAACTTGGGTTTCATCTGAGATGTTAGGTCACACACTGACAAAATTGATTGTGACCCAATCGCTATTGTTATTCATGGTCGAAATTCCACTGAATGGCTTCCATACTACATACATTTTCGCAATATGATATCGAAACGTTTACCGTCTTATGGTAACATTTTAAATGACTTGCATGAGCAAAAGGATAGTGAGTAAGTGCAAAGATAAAAGTGAATGGACGTCAGTTACACTTACCATACTGGTGATCCACCTCTGCATCCATTGCACTTAAAACGTTGATGACTCTCTCAATAGGAGACACAACTGAACACCATATTAGTTAAGAGTATTTTCAAACTTACATCGCAAATAATCAAGCCTGCGATTTTCGAGGTTTTGTACTATACTCTTCAACTCGACTGTGAATTAAATTGAAGTAATAATCTCGAAAAATAACTGTCCAGAGCACAATTGTTAATCAGAATGAAACAGATTCGTA